ATGGTTAAACAAACAAGATGTGGAGGAATTTTTAAGAGGTTCAATGCTTAACATTTCTCTCATTCAAATATTCATGAGGTATAGGCACATGCCACTTAAATTAATTATGTTATTCATATTAGTGTTGTTTATCCTTCATATATATGTCAATTAATTTTTCATTGTACATGCACCTAGAGCACTACGGGAGCACTTAAGTGACACTGATTCCCCTAGTAAAGTTGGGTGGTTAAGCCCCGAACAGACATCCGAGACTAGAATCTTACACAAATCCCCTGAGGTGATGTATTATGTTAATCATAGTATTAGGGAATCAATGCGTGCGGGAGACAAGTTCATATTCGCCCCATGTTATGAGGAGTACGTTTAACCATGTGTAATTCAATTCTTTCTACATTTGAATTATTTGTTGTACCCTAATTATTGATTTGTTTGTGTATTGTGAATTTATGTAGGTTTCATTGGTTCCTCGTGGTGATTTGTCCTGCTAATAACACAATCTTTCACCTTGATTCAGCTCGATCAACAAAGAAGTACCTCGTGATGTCTGTACTACAAAAGTAAATATAGCTACCTAGTGTTGATTATCTTAACCTAACTCATTTAGTAGTCAAACTAATAAAAATTTAATTTACTTTCATATAGTATTATGAAGAAGATACATGGTCGTGCTCCACGGGGTCCTACATGGAAATCAACTATGGTAATGCCACATCATATTGTGACTATCTTAATAAACATTGCTAAAACAATTGTGGGTTTTATGTGAAGTTTGATTCATTTGATTTGTTCCTATGCTAGTGCCCACAACAAGATAATGGAGTTGATTGTGGATTATACGAGATGAGATTCATGCTTGACATAGCGACTCATTGTACCAACACCATACATCTTGATGAGGTACGACCTTAAACTTAGTAAAATGCACTTTTTCTGGGATTTCAAGGCTTATCCACCTATAACTAAGTATAATTGAAATGTTATGAGAAAGAACTTGGTCATTTGTTTAAAAATGTAGAAAATGGGCAAGTAGAAGTCAAATAGGCCTTATTTAGGCTATATTGGATGAAAATGCGACCTTAAACTTAGTAAAATGCCCTTTTTCTGTGATTTCAAGGCTTAGCCTCCTATACCTAAGTATAATTGACATTTTATGAGAAAGAAATTGGACATTTGTTCAAAAGTGTAGAAAATGGGCAAGCAGAAGTCAAATAGGCCTTATTTAGGCTATTTTGGATGAAAATGCGACCTTAAACTTAGTAAAATGTCCTTTTTCTGTGATGTCAAGGCTTAGACTCCTATAACTAAGTATAATTGACATGTTATGAGAAAGAACTTGGTCATTTGTTTAAAAATGTAGAAAATGGGCAAGTAGAAGTCAAATAGGCCTTATTTAGGCTATTTTGGATAAAAATGCGACCTTAAACTTAGTAAAATGCCTTTTTCTGTGATTTCAATGCTTATCCACCTATAACTAAGTATAATTGACATGTTATGAGAAAGAACTTGGTCATTTGTTTTAAAATGTAGAAAATGGGCAAGTAGAAGTCAAATAGGCCTTATATAGGCTATTTTGGATGAAAATGCGACCTTAAACTTAGTAAAATGCCCTTTTTCTGTGATTTCAAGGCTTAGCCTCCGATAACTAAGTATAATTGACATTTTATGAGAAAGAACTTGGTCATTTTTTTAAAAATGTAGAAAATGGGCAAGTAGAAGTCAAATAGGCCTTATTTAGGCTATTTTAGATAAAAATGCAACCTTAAACTTAGTAAAATGCTCTTTTTCTGTGATTTCAAGGCTTAGCCTCCTATAACTAAGTATAATTGACATGTTATAAGAAAGAAATTGGTCATTTATTTAAAAATGTAAAAAATGGGCAAGCAGAAGTCAAATAGGCCTTATTTAGGCTATTTTGGATGAAAATGCGACCTTAAACTTAGTAAAATGCTCTTTTTCTGTGATTTCAAGGCTTAGTCACCTATAAATAAGTATAATTGACATGTTATGAGAAATAACTTGGTCATTTATTTAAAAATGTAGAAAATGGGCAAATAAAAGTCAAATAAGCCTTATTTAGGCTATTTTGGATGAAAATGCGACCTTAAATTTAGTAAAATGCCCTTTTTCTGTGATTTCAAGGCTTAGGCTCCTATAACTAAGTATAATTGACATGTTATGGAAAGAACTTGGTCATATTTTTTAAAAAATGTAGAAAATGGGCAAGTAGAAGTCAAATAGGCCTTCTTTAGGCTATTTTGGATGAAAATGCGACCTTAAACTTAGTAAAATGCCTTTTTTTTAGTTATTTCAAGGCTTAGCCTCCTATAAATAAGCATAATTGACATTTTATGAGAAAGAAATCGGTCATTTGTTTAAAAATGTAGAAAATGGGCAAGTAGAAGTCATTTAGGCCTTATTTAGGCTATTTTGGATGAAAATGCGACCTTAAACTTAGTAAAATGCTCTTTTTCTGTGATTTCAAGGCTTAGCCACCTATAAATAAATATAATTGACATGTTATGAGAAAGAACTTGGTCATTCGTTTAAAAATGTAGAAAATGGGTAAGTAGAAGTCAAATAAGCCTTATTTAGGCTATTTTGGATGAAAATGCGACCTTAAACTTAGTAAAATGCCCTTTTCTGTGATTTCAAGGCTTGGCCTCCTATAACTAAGTATAATTGACATTTTATGAGAAAGAACTTGGTCATTTTTTTAAAAATGTGGAAAATGGGCAAGTAGAAGTCAAATAGGCCTTATTCAGGCTATTTTGGATGAAAATGCGACCTTAAACTTAGTAAAATGCCCTTTTTCTGTGATTTCAAGGCTTAGCCTCCTATAACTAAGTATAATTGACATTTTATGAGAAAGAACTTGGTCATTTGTTTAAATATGTAGAAAATGGGCAAGTAGAAGTCATTTAGGCCTTATTTAGGCTATTTTGGATGAAAATGCGACCTTAAACTTAGTAAAATGCTCTTTTTCTGTGATTTAAAGGCTAAGGCACCTGTAAATAAGTATAATTGACATGTTATGAGAAATAAATTGGTTATTTGTTTAAAAATGTAGAAAATGGGCAAGTAGAAGTCAAATAGGCCTTATTTAGGCTATTTTGGATGAAAATGCGATCTTAAACTTAGTAAAATGCTTTTTTTCTGTGATTTCAAGGCTTAGCCTCCTATAACTAAGTATTATTGACATGTTATGAGAAATAACTTGGTCATTTGTTTAAAAGAGTAGAAAATGGGCAAGCAGAAGTCAAATAGGCCTTATTTAGGCTATTTTGGATGAAATTGCGACCTTAAACTTAGTAAAATGCCCTTTTTCTGTGATTTCAAGGCTTAGCCTCCTATATCTAAGTATAATTGACATGTTATGAGAAAGAACTTGGTAATTTGTTTAAAAGTGTAGAAAATGGGCAAGTAGAAGTCAAATAGGCCTTATTTAGGCTATTTTGGATGAAAATGCGACCTTAAACTTAGTAAAATGCCCTTTTTTGTGATTTCAAGGCTTATCCACCTATATCTAAGTATAATTGACATGATATGAGAAAGAACTTGGTCATTTGTTTAAAAATGTAGAAAATGGGCAAGTAGAAGTCTTTTAGGCCTTCTTTTTGACCGTTTTGACCTAAGTATTTAATTTTTTACATATTTATTACTCACATGTTTAACTTCACTAATTAATTTAACTTATTCTAAAATAATTTATATATATTCCAAGTTTTTGAAGGTGCAAAAGGGAGATCCGTTAGCAAGCAAGGAGCTTAATGAAGTTCGAGACATGTTGACATCTTTCAACACCTTCAATTTGTAAATATGGCATCATTTTGAATTTATATTTTGTTAATTATTAACTTTTAGAATACAATATTGACTAGTTATTAGTATTGTTTGTATTTATGTGTATATCACACTTTATTTGTTGTATTGCATTTGGTTTTTAATTGTAAAAGTCTAAATATATATTTTTAATTCTTGTTATGATTATTAATAATAATTATATTATGGCAGAATTTATAGCAATAATATGGCAGAATATTATAGCAGGATCAGTTGCAGGAATAATTACAGGCAAAAAAAAAAAAATTAGACCTTATTATTGCCACCGGTTTACCGGTTCAAACCTGTGGCAATAGTCAGCCTTCCCCTCCAAAAAAAACCGCGCCATTATTATTGCCACCGGTTAACCGGTGGCCATAATTATTATTACCACCGGTTAACCGATGGCCATGAGGACTTTTGCCACCGGTTTTGAACCGGTGGCCATGCGTTGCTTTGTTGCCACCCCCCAAATTACCACCGGTTCAAAACCGGTGGCAATGGGGGGTTTTCAACCGGTGGCCATTACATATTTTCGCCTAGTGTATTAGAGGAATATCCTAAGAATACTGCCTCATCACAACGTTCATAAAACTTTCCTAAGTTCCTTTTACCATTGTTATGAACAAAGCATTTACAACCAAAAGATCTAAAGTAAGAAATATTAGGCTTTCTCCTTTTGATTAGCTCGTAAGGAGTTTTGTTGGTGATGGCTCTAACTGATACTCTATTAAGAATATAGCATGATGTACTCACTGCTTCTGCCCAGAAGTTCCTAGGCAGACCACTTGAGATCAGCATTGTTCTAGCCATGTCTTACAGCCTTCTGTTCTTGCGTTCCACCACTCCATTTTGTTGTGGCGTTCTTGGGGCACAAAAGTTGTGATCCATTCTATGCTGAGTGCAAAATTCATCAAACTTTGCATTTTCAAATTCAGTTCCATGGTCCAATCTGAGGTGAATCAAAGGATTACCTGTTCTTCTCTGTTCTTTCTTTACAAAGGCTACAAATTCATCAAATGTTTCATCTTTACTAATAAGAAAGAAAACCCAAGTAAACCTTGAAAAGTCATTAACGATGACCATAACATATCTCTTACCATTGGATTCTCATAGGACCACATAGATCCATATGAATAAGTTCCAAAGGTCTTTTGGTACTTACCATTTTCTTGGACTTAAAAAGAAACTCGAGTCTGTTTTCCTCTAACACAAGCATCACACACTTTGTCATACAGGAACTTAATGCAAGGAAGTCCTTCCACTAGTTCCTTAGATCTCAATTTATCAAGTAAAGTAATGCTTGCATGGCCAAATCTCTTGTGCCATAATAAAGGATCGTCCTCAATGACAGTAAGACAAGTTAAACTGCTATTAGGAACCTCGTTAAGATCCACAACATATGTGTCCCCTTTACGAGTTCCTTCTAAAATAATGTTCCCAGTGTCATTGTGAATGATTCTGCACTTATTGGAAGTAAAGCTTACAGAGTTACCTTTTTCACAAAATTGTGATATACTTAACAAGTTGTGTTTGAGGCCCTCGACCAAAAATACATTATCAATTGCATGGGAACTTGACCTTCCTACTTTGCCAATAGCAACTATATCTCCTATCATATTATCACCAAAGGTCACAGTACCCCCATAGTAGGCATCTAGTGAGAGAAATCTAGATTTGTCTCCAGTCATGTGCTTAGAACAACCACTGTCGAGGTACCAAGTGTTGTTCCCCCTCACTGGAACCTCAGGTTCTAGTTCCTTTAGTTTTGCTTTTTCATCAGTTTTTTCCATCAAGCATAGATGCGCAGTTTCCTCTTACGGTTGATCTTCCTCTTCTTCTGAATCCGAATCTCCCCAAGCAGCCAACATGTCTTTCTTCACATTGTCCTTGGTGAATTAAGGCTTATAGACTCTTGACTCTTTGGATTTCTCCTTACCCTTTGTCTTTCCTTTCTCACCATCTGATAGTGGACAATCTTTGATGAAGTGATCTTTAGACCCACATTTGAAACAAGTTGTGTTTCTGGAACTTGCATACTTCTTGTTCCTATCAAACTTCTTGTAGTTAATCATCCTTTTGAACTTTCTAATAACTAGCATTGCCATTTCTTCCCCATCAGCTTCCGATTCCTCTAAGTTTTGAGCCTTAAGAGCAAGACTCTTGTTATTGGAACTTTCAGTATTGGAACTCAGGTGAAGTTCATGAGTCATCAATGATCCAGCTAGTTGTTCCATGTTAAACTTTGTGAAGTCCTAGGCTTCTTGCATGGCATTAACCTTGGATCTCCATCGCTCATCTTGTGGTAGGCTCCTTAAGATCTTTCTTGCCTGTTCATCAATAGAAATGTGTCTGCCAAGGGAATTCAATTCATTAATAATATCATTGAACCTAGTAAATATTTCCTCTATAGATTCCTTTGATTGCATTTCAAACCTTTCATATCTAGACATTAATAAATCAATCTTAGAACGTTTTACCTCATTAGTACCTTCATGAGTTACCTCTAGTAGATCCCAAATCTGTTTAGCAGACTTGCATCCCATGATACGATTATGTTCATGAGGTCCAAGTCCACAGTGCAAATACTTTATAACTAAAGCATTCAATTCAAGTTTCTGATAATCTTCCTTATCATAATCAGAAATAAGTTTAGGACCTACCTCGTTCTTTTCATTGGTTGCAGTTATTTCAAAATCACCAGTTTCAATAAACACGCCAAACCTGGTAATTTTCAGCCTTGATAAAGATCTCCATCCTGTTCTTCCGGTAGGTGTAAAACTTACCATTGAACATGGGTGGACCTTGGGTGGAATACCCTTCTTCAAGTTTCTCCTTGTAATTCATCTCTCCAGGAACTTACTAAGCAAAGTTATCTGCTTACACGTGAGAACCTTGCTCTGATACCAATTGTTAGTTGAGACGATTAATACAAGAGGGGGGTGAATTGTATTGAGTTCCCAATGAATACTTTTGCGGAATAATAAACAAGGCATATAGGACTTGCTAGAACACACATATTTTACGAGGAAACCTTCCAGGTCCCAACTGGAAGTAAAACCTCGACCCTGCCTTAGGGATTTCAAACACACAAACTTCACTATAATAGGGCAAACACCAAGTTACAACCTATTAGACACGGACCTTTATTTTCACAAGATTCTCGTTGGACTTGCTACTTGATAGGACCCTATCCTACCCAACCTAAGAACCACACTTAGATTCACTCGTACCACCAAAGTACTACACGTACTGCCAAAGTACAAACTGCTTGCACCACCTAAGTACAGAACTCTCAGCCTCACCTCGAAGCTTACAAAACTGTATGTAAAGCAAATAATAAACTTACCCAAATAACCCAACCCAATACAAGTGTACGACACCTAGTATGATAGGTAAGCAATGCACAAAATCCGAAACTAATATGACAAGTTAGAAGCTTGGTAAACTTACTCAATTATAGCACTGTGATTTCTCCACGCATAAACTCACAAAAACCTAAAACTATTTTGCTCTCTACTATTTATACAAGTATCACTCGTATAGAAATTAGGTATTCTAAAAGATAAATAAGTTAACTTAACTTATCTTTAAACACGGAATTATGTAAATCAAGTGGAATAAAATCTTTTCCGGAAAATAATATTAAAAAGATATTTGTTAAAAAGATTTATCTTTTTAACAAACTGATTTAAAGAAAATAATCTTTTTAGAAATTTTTTTCATAAAGTCTATCTTTTATATTTTCCATATTATTTTATTTACCAAGCCAACTTGTCACGCTTCTAATAAATTTCGTGCAATAACCAACTTATCATATTAACAATAATCTAGAAGATAAAAACCTTAACTAAATATAATTGATGCGCCGCGCTTTTGTTCAGGAAGGTTACTTGGGCTCCAAGATTATTAAGTTCCACCAAAGAACTTAAGCTTGTTGTCTTCAAGTTCCTGTTAGGGAACTCAGTTCTTGTTAGAGAACTAGTTCTTGTTAGAGAACTCTTCTTCTAATTTGTTTAACTCCTTCAATAAAGATCTTTTCATGTCTTCTCAATTCCAGCTACTTCTTCCATCACCACGATCAACTTCACCTAAACTAATCAAACACTTGAAAACCTTTATTAGTTGAGTTTGCTTTAGTTTAAGTTCCTCATCATCAAAACCTTTATACTTCAACAGTCATGTTATCTACAGACAGAAAAAGGCAATTTATTTTTATAAAAGCACCTAAAACCTACAATGGTTTCTAGGTTACTTAGCACTCTATTCAATTTTAATGTCCCAATTAGAATAAGTGATTCCAAGATCCTATCACACATGCAACATTAAGCAGACGGAGGCCTTTTCTTAAAATTACATTTTCAAGGTAAGTAAACTCTTTACAAATTACAACATTTGTAATTCTTGGTTAGACAGAAAAACATCTCATGCTTAACTATCCCTTTGCTTCAAAATCCAAAATGCTTTTGATTATTTTGTTGAGTTTAACCAAATTAAGTGTGCAAAATTCACAATTTCACCTCACCTTCCAAAATTAATAACAATGCCCTGCGGAGGCATGACCTATTACTATTAATTAAGGGTTAATAAGTACTTTATATTTGGAAAAGCAAACCTCAATATTAGTGGGTGTAGGGAATATTTCAAGCATTACCCCAAACTTGAACCCCACTGTGATCATACACTAAAGCATGGTGGTGCCCAAAGGGAAGGAAGCTAGAATAAAAGAGTCGCCAACAAGTTTAAGGAGCTTGTAAACCGTTCACGAGGTGAAGGTTACACCCCTTAACGATCCATGAGATCGTTAACTCCAATAGGTCTGGAACCAAGACTGGAAGTTCGGGGATGAAGGTACAAATCCAATCTAAAAGAGAAATAATCTGCCCTAATAATAAGCCTCTACTTTATTTTTCTCGTATTCATGTACGCTTTCTGACTAACATGCAAGCAATAGGTTTACCCTAAACCTGTTTATCTATGTTGGTTGAATATTAATGCACAAACAAATCTGTTATTGGCGATCACTTGAATTATAATCAAATTAACCCGGGTTTTTCTAAGCTATGCCCCCCAAGTTATTGAATTTCTAAGTTGTACCAATGCTTTTTCAAAGTCATAAGTTGTGCCCTCCACTTTACGATATTTTATCAATAATACCCTTTGACAGTCATATCCGTTAATGAAAGTTAAGTTATTTTATCGACAATGGTGTTATGACCTTATTTATTTGACATGTGTCCCATTCTAATTGGTTTAACACTTTAAGAAAAAATTAAAAAATCAGAAAATAAAATAATAAAAAAAGGTTATTGTTAATAAAAATTAGTGAGGTTGAGGGCACAGCTTAGACGTTTGAAAAAGCATGGGCACAGCTTAGAAAACGAAGAAGTTTGGGGGCATAACTTAGAAAAACCCAATTAACCCTAAACAAGATTATTAATTATCTTATTAAGCGTGATTATTAGTACCAATTCCCTTTAAACATGCATAAAATGCGTGATCAAGCAATAACAATAAAAATCATCAAGCAACATAATAACCATAATAATAATAATTATAACAATAATCATAATCATGTTAAAGCATAATAATAATAGCAAGATTCTAGGCATGATACTTACAAGATTAATAACAAACCCTAGCATGTCACTAAACATTAAAGATCAAAGTTTTAACCCTAACATGATACTAACATGCTATTAAGAAAGAAATAGGAAGCATCGTAGAAATCATAATTGATATAAGAAACTTAATCATTACCCTAAACATGATACTAAGAAAAGCATCCTAACATAATACTAGGAATTAATAAAATCTAAACATGATTTCTATATCAAACAATCAATAAAACAATTAAAGCACTTACTTGGATGCCTCGTACTTCTTTCTAATAACAAAATACACACGTTAGTAACTTCAAGGAAAATAATAAAACAAACAATTAAATTAAATAATTGAAATAGAGATTTGGGACCAAACCCTCAGAAGTACCAAACCTTTCATGTCTAGGGCGAAGGCAACTTCGAATTGGGCTAGGTGTGTCTAGATCTTGTGAATGCGGAATTTTGTTTGTGAAAAGTTGGTTTAGAAAAAGAGAGAGAGTATTAAGAATTTCTTGATGAGAGTTAGTGAGAATTGATGGAAATTGACGATTAAAAACAGAGGTCTAAGGACGATATTTATAATGAAAACATTCCGGATATGATAAAAAAGAATCGGAGTTTGCAAAGGAATAAAACATGTCACTATCGCTACAACAGCCTCTGTCGCCGCGCGACAGGGTCTGTCGCGAGGCGACAACCTGACGTCGGTGCTGCAGGACATTTTTCCACACGTTTTCTATTTTTTAATAAAATTAAATCGTAAAAGTCCGTACGAGGGGTAAAATCGTAATTTCATTTAAAACACTTCTTTTATTCCAAATAAAACTCATAAAACTTAATTATCAATCCTAATCACATTAGGATTCAAAAGAACCTTCTAGAAAATTCTAGAAGACTATAATCAATCCTAATTGCATTAGGATTGATAATTCATAATAGGCCCTACTCTAGATCATTGGGCCGCATATAAATATCAAACCAGGCCCAGTTTAGTAAATTAGCCATAACTTCGTCATTATTCATTGGAATTGGGCTTATAATATATCGTTGGAAAGATCTTTTCGAGCCCTATCCAACTACACCATTATTAGACCCTTGTCATGGACCAAACTAAACTGGATTGGATATTTTCATAAAATAGAATGGGTTTTCGAAAATAAAAACTAACCGCAACACTATACTTTCCACACTTTCACTTCATTCGATTATGATTCGACGCGAAAGGTATTCATCACTGGGTTTGGTTTTGGGAGACACAAATAGGTGTCTACAGTGGGACCTAAGTTTATTATGTCATTATTAATTAGTGAACTCTAGCGCATTAATAACAAACATACAATAAACTTATAAGCATTTTAAGAATAATAATAAAATGCAAAATTAAATATGATCTAGTATGGCCCCTAATCCTAAGAACTAAGCTCGATAGGACACCTACTTGGAATCTTCATGGATCTCGATCCACCTTCGTCATGGGCCTGCTCAACTGGGCTCTTCTTCGGATTAATTAAGTATTTAAACAATTAAACTAATTCCTAATTAAATAAATTACAAAAATACTTAACGATACCCAGATCGTATTTACATTACAAAAATACATAACAATACGCAGATCGTATTTATTATTTAAATCT